TTTTTTATTTAAATTGCAATTTAAATCAAATCCACCCTGGCCCAAAGTATCCACAGGACACCACATTGCCTAGCTCTGCTGCAGACAAAACAGAGACAGAGGAACCCATGGGTGGGTATCATGGCATTAAGCAGCTTCGTGTGTTCTTAAGCAGAGCTGGTCCAAGACGCGTTGTTTAAAGCTTTAAAAAACCCCACACTGTGTCTCAGCCACCCAAGTGAAGCTGAACATGACCCAAAGAATCAAGCTATTTCGGCTCATGAGACAGAACATCTCAAAAGTACCTTTCCCCTTGGTCTGGTAAGGAAAAAACACACACAAAAAACAACAAATTAATTAGCTAACCAGTAATTTGTCACACAGGAATACATTAAAAAATGACACCCTAAATCTGGCTAAGGCAGACCGGAAAGTGGCTTTAATACGGAGGGAAGTCAACATACCCGGGCTCATCCAGAGATTCTCTGTGTTACAGTTCCCATCAGCCACACCAACAGGCCAGGGGGTCAGGAATTACAGGAGTCACACTCCAAGACCTATTGCGGGCAGAGAGTGTCACCCACCCACTTGTGGAGACCGATTTTAGTAGTGCTGTCACAGCCATGGTGCGAAAGTGCTCGCCCCAATGGCGTATCTCGAACGTACGCAGCTGCCACACAGGGTGTGAGGAGCCGGGTGAAAAAGAAGTCCTGAAGCAATGATGGCAACACCGTGCCCACGTGCAGGGCAAGGACGTTTGGGCGCCTCAGCACATACTCCACGGGACCTGACCAGAAACCTCACCTGCTGCCCTCTTGGAAAAGGGCGAACTCCAAGGTCGCACGCTCCAGCACGGTCAGCGAAGTGACGGTTATGGGGCCACTGGCCTTGTTTGGAAAGGCGCCCTGCACACGGACCTCGTGCCAGTCTGAATGGAGCTTGCAGATGTCCACTGAATCGAAATACCTGGCAAAGGAACAGACGGCCATCAGCCCCCAGAAGCAGCTGCGGCCGCGGTCACTGCAGTCCTGAGATTACACAGCAGCAGGGGACCCGAACAGAGCGGGGGCCCACCGCTTCCTTCTGGGTTTGCAAAGAATCCCCTCAAAAAAAAAATCCCTTCTGACAGCAACTGCGCCAGATCCTGAGGAGGGAGAGCAGCTTTCTTGTGACCAAGAGGGCTGCCATTCCTGGTGCTTAAAAAAATATGCTGGCTATCTGTGCAGTCTGACAGATCGGAAAGAGATGCACAGCCTGTGGAATATTAGACGGAAGTTAAAATTAACAGTTCCCATAAAGGTCAGGGGCTTGGGAGCACAGCTATTTTTACCAGCATTTTTTTAAAATTGAGAGAGCGATGGCTCCTATGCCTGAATGGCACGTTGGCCAAAACACGGTATCTGAAGTGACAGTGCTTGTCACTAGTTACATCATCAGAAACGGACAACACCTGAGAAACCATATTGTCTATGTGAGCCTGAACAAGGACCCATGAGAACGGAAAAAGAAAGAAATACAGAGGTAAAAGCACAGCAGGACCCCCTGTATCCACGGGGGATCAGTTCCAAAACTCCCACAGATGCTTGAAAATACAAATTATAGCCAACTCTATTCATAGCACCGTCTCTGGCTCTCTCTTGTGTCCAGTTCTGGTAACTCCATCTTTAGAAATATTTATTTCTAGGATATTTCTTTTAATATTTTCTGACCATGGATAAATGAATCAGTGGATACTGATCCCATGGAGACACTAATGTGTTAATTGCTTGGCCCTTCAAAGCATCATGGCCTTGGAAGAAACAACCAGCACGCTGTACTTGAAGACCCATCGCCGGGACTGCCTGCAAACCATGCTTAAAAACAACTCAGCAACATGCACATCTTCCCCATCTATTTTTCCCCTTCCTAGTACGAATCATAGTTTACTTGCATGTCTTGCATTAACTTAAACAATGGTTAATATTATGAGGTTCGCCGATAAAACATGGTTTACTGACAAACCAGAGACTGAAGACATTGCCTAAAATGGGTTTGCACCTTACCATTTGATACTGTGTTTGGCACTACAGTTATCAAACAGAGAATGTAAAAGTACGGTTGAAGACAGGAAGGGACTGACAACATATATTATTCAGGGTGGCACCCATTTTCATTTTAAGATATTTGATTGATTAATTTTGGACAAGCAGCCGCCTTTCTTTGTTTGGAATCAGGGGCTCTCAACTTTTGGTCCTCTGAATACTTAGGGTCTCAGTTCCAAAAAGCCCTAGCCAGCACATGCAAAGACAAAGGGCTGTGGGCCAAACATTGAAAACCGCTGCTTGAAGTGCTACACATACATATTTAGATGCACACACTCCTTGTTTAAAATGGCATTTGCCTCCTGCAGGTCTACACATTTATCTCCTTCCTACCTCTCTAGGCAAACCATTAGCTAACTAGCAATATCAATTGCTTAATAAAGCAGATCAGTCAAATAGCTGTTGCAGCCTTAGTCAAAAGAGATCTCAAAATATTCCAAAATGATAGTCACCGGAAATAAGCAAAATCATAATCATCATCAAAATTTCAAAAGCAGCAACATGATATTTGAAATTTGGACAAATTAGTCCTAGCCCAGTGCTTAAACACTAAATTATTATCTCAGCATCAGACCCAAGAGATGTTTTCAACCATCTGATCTTTCATTCGATATACTGTACACATCTAAATCCAAACCACTGAGGGGAGCAGCAAACTCAGAGATAAAGGGTGCCTCTGGCTTTATGCAACACATGCAGATACCTGATGAAGTCACTGTATTCCATCCAGAAGACACCTTCACTGCTCCCATGGGGCATTAATTCATGCCGCAGGTGTGTTGGCCAATGTGGCCACTCATCAGACCAGCCGCCGTTCCAAGAGAAGCGGCCCCAGGGATTGCGAAGTCTCAACAGCCTGGAGGACAGAAGAACGAAGGAAGTCAGACCTGCTCTCAGAAGGGATTTAAGATTCTTACATGTTCCCTCCTCTTTTTTTTTTTAAGATGCAGATTGCTTGATATCCTTACCTGCATCCTTGAACATCGCGTACGTCCAAGATGGAGTACGCGTGTCGCGGACGAAGGCCCATGCTTTCATAAGCGGCATCGTCCACTTTCATGTTGCCGCCTCCGCAGGATGCGCCCATTAAAAAACTGAAGAGAGAAGGATGGGGAAGAAAGAAAAAAGAAGGATGGGAAGAGAGAAAGAGAAAAAAAAGACAAAGATTTATATAGCATGGCTCAGCATCTGGAATCAACTGGAGGGAAGCAGTCTTGGGAGCTATGTATCTTATCTGAACGATGTATTATGCCATTTTCCCCATGAGGTAAGGTGGATATTGACAAGAGAAATATAAAGGATGTCAGGTACCAGTCTAATTAAGACATGTCTTTCCCTGAAACGCCAGTGTTGCAGAAGCAGGAGCCGTTTTGTGCTTCTTAGGACTGATCTATTATTACAGCAAAAACAAGAGAGCAAAATCCAGAAGTGAATGAGCGGAGTGTGCCACTTCCACCTTCCGCAGGGAAGGAATTGTGCCGTTTCCAAATGATCTCTTACTTGGTAAAACCCTTTACAATTAAAACACACGCGTAGGCAAATGAGTATCTCTGGGAGAAGGGTTCAAGTCCACTCCACTTCTTGACTGTGCTAGTTGTCTAGCTGCAGAAAGGACATACCTGTAACTATAATCCTGTGAGTTCACACAGGCGTCTTTGCAAAACTCATCAGAATGTCCCCAACCTTTGGTTCCCGGATGTTATTGAACTAAAACTCCCAGAAGTCTTCACCACTAGCTGTGCTGGCCAGGATTCCTGGGAGTTGCAGTCTAAAAGCATGCTGCTTATATACTTCCTTGTCATGCTTAAAGTAGTCTCTGGGCGGCTTACCACCAAGGAATAATTTTGTGGTCTTGGCTCCTGCTAGTGCACAATTGGCTTGGGTGGTTGTGGCAGGTTCTGAGTGAGAGGTTCTAAGATGGACTGCTTTGGAAGCTGTTTTGAGAGTACAGTAGATATCGCTGGAATTGAGAATTGCTGAGATAGTGAACTGGGTGCTAGAGGTGATTTCATCCACATTTTAAACAAGATTGCCAGTTCTTTATCACAACGTTCATGAACTTGCAGCAATACTGGCAAGTCTGTGTTTGGGCTGCCCCTCACCAAGACGGTATAAGCACTTCTGATGTCCATCGGTGAGGGAGCTTTTATTGCTTCAGAAAACAATATTTTTGACCATAAAAGGCAGAAATAACTCATCACAACAAAGGCAGGAAAACCTGAACAAGGGGTTGAACATGACAAAGAATAACAAGACGACAATGTCAGGTAAGAGTGCAGGAAAACCTCAAAACAAACAAGGGGTTGAACATGGCAAAAAATAACAAGACGACAATGTCAGGTAAGAGTTTTGAAGACAATGAGAGATATTTGTTCTAGCCAGCATCCCTAGGAGTTTCCGCAGCAGCTGCTAAAGGGAACGGAAGGAGAACTGGTAGGCACACAGAGATGATACACGCTGGAGAAGCTAGCTGAATAGTCCTCTTTTCAGGGGACTGGAAACCAAGATCTAGGGGGAAAGACTTAAGAACCAGGCACGTTTAGCCTTGAGAAAAGAAGACTGAGGGGAGATATAAAATGTTTCATATCCTTGAAAAGTTGTCATACAAAGGAGGGGCAAGATCTGTTCTCAATCATCCTAGAGTGCAGGACATGTAATAAAGGCACCAAGCGACAGGAAACCAGATTTAGGATCAATATCAGAAACACAACTTAACTGTTAGAGCAGTACGACAATGGAACCAATGACCTTGGGAGATGGTGGGTGCTCCAACACTGGAAACATTAAAGGGAAAACTAGACAACCATCTTTCCAATCTGCTTTGATTTGGATTCCGGCATTGAGCGGGTGTTGGACTTGATAGCCATATAGGCCCTTTCCAACTCAATGATTCTATGATTTTTTCTTTCATGAGCCATTTCAGTGCCACTGGGCCAACCAGATATAATACATAGACATGGACAGACTACCTGAGTGGTAAGGCTTGCAGGATGAAAAAAAAAAGAGTGATGTTCATAACACTAAGAACTTGGGCCTGAGTTTTCTCATTTTTGCTTTCCCTACCCAACCCTCTTCTCCTTTTGTTTTCCGTCAATAATAAATGAATAAACAAGGGAAATTTACTGACCTGTTAAACAGACCTCAAAAAATCTTTTACAAGTTAAGCTATTATTTCCTTTTTAGATTAGGGAGGGTACGGATTGTTCTGCCTTTTGTATTAGCATGTAAGCTGCTCTGAAAGCATCTCCAGCTGTTGAGCTCTATGTGTGTGTGTTATAAATACAGTAATTGGGGCTTTTTAGGTGAAAAACTATGGTGGGGAGGCCATTATAAAACCGCAAATATGGTGTGGAAATAGCAGAGAGACATTTTTGTCCGCCTTCGATAATCCTGCAACCTTGTGTCACCAAATGCAAGTGACTGGCAGAAGATTCAGGATAAGCTAAAATCGCACATAACCAGAGACTGGAAAAATTACTTTGGATCACAACTCACAGTATTCCCCAACCAACAAAGCCAACGGGGAATTCTGCAAGTCCCGACAATGTGCAGATAACCCACAATTAATTTGTGGAGCTGACTGCCAGAAGATGCAGTGACAGACACGTGTTTGAGTAACTTTCCAATGGATCCAACAGACAGACAGAATTGATTGTTCTATTAGCAGCTCTTAGCAACAGACAGGTAGAGGGATCTTCTGAATCCCGGGTGCCTGAGCTACTCAAGAAGAAAGCCTTTTTCTCAGTTCCATGCTGCATCAAAACCAGTGCTGGGGAAAAATTGGGGGGCAGGGAGAGACTACAACTCCTAAATCTCCTGGCTAGTTGATTCTGAGTGTTATGGACCCCCCAAAACAATACTTCCATGCTCAGGCCGGAATGCAAAGTGCCCAAGGGACATGCCATGTTGTGGACCGGCCCTCTAGCCTGCCCTCAGACGGAAGGGGAAAGCCGGCCCTTTCAAAACTCATGCTACGACTTTATGCTCCTCAAGGCTCAAGGGGGAAACCCTCCCTCCTGCCTCCTCTTACCCAGCCTCCTTAGAACTCAGCATTTTGGCCCAGATGAGGTCAGTGTCAATGGGCTCCTCGCGAGGGTTAGTGGAGCTGACCTGCAGCATCAGGCTCTCGCAGGGGGCGCCGGTTAGTGTGGCAAGGCCTTCTATAGCGCGCCCGGCCTGGAGGGCAAAGTACGAACCGTGGAGTTTGGCCAGGGCCTTCTCAATGAGAGCCACCCACAGCTGCTTCCTCTGGGCCTGGAAGAAAGGAAAGGAAGGAACACAAGACACAGTTTCAGAACAAGCCTTGTCAAGAGATGTCAAGACACAGGTTTCAGAGCAAGCCTTGTCAAGAGATGTCATCATTTCTAATTGAGTTCTTGCTTGTCTCTTTATCAGGCACATCATATTTAGGTGTACTTGCATCTTATAGGGCACCAACAATAATTGACTTCTTGCTTGTGTACTTGCATCTTATAGGGCACCAACAACTTAGCTTGCTGGCCACAGTTTAACAGAGCTTCAGAAGATCAAGGAGTGGCTTTTAGGCTCCCCCAGACAGCATAGCCAGGAGCTACGTAAGGCTGGAGGATTCCGGGAGTGATAGTCCAAAACATGCATTTTCTAAACTCTGCCTTTTACAGCCAAGGCGTGTACCCCATCTGCAGTTAAAACCACATCTGAAAAAGTTACTTGTTGGGACTGCAACGAGCTGTACTGGCTGAGGGATTCTATGAGCTGTAGTCCAGAAAAAGCAACTTTCCTAAACTTCTGAGAATTGAGCACAGGTAATGTTCTTAGAAAAGCTGGATTATGCAAGTGTATACATTGTGCAGCTCGAACCCATCTTCATGATATGTTCTCCCATGCTCATCAATTTTGTCCAGATTTGCTAGTCCAAAGAAGGGTAGGGAAACTTAAGCCTTGTACCAGAACCCCTAAAAATCGTACTTGTCCATCACTCTGAAAATTCAGGAGACATTCACCCACACATTTACAAGCACATCTTCAAAGCTGCACAGATTATACTTTTTAAAAACAAAAACTGAAGTTCCCATGAAATTGACTTATTTCCATAAGGGCATTCCATAAGGTTTTTCAGGCTCCTGTGGATTGGCAGCATAGAAATAGTTCTGTCCAGGTTTTGGACTTCATCTCCCAGAAATCCAAGCCAGAACAGCCAAAGGTTGTGAGAGAAAATAGTTCTGTCTATGCTTTAAATCAGATAAGAGGAAGCACCGGCATGCCACATGTTTTGGACTTCAACTCCCAGAAATCCCAAGCCAGAACAGCCAAAGGTTGTGAGAGCTCTAATCCAAAGCATCTTGAGACCCAAAGATTCTCCACTTCTGTTCTACACCAGCTACTAAGCTGGAGGTTGGACAGTTTTGTTTATAGGACACAGAGAAGAACATTTGGAAGAACCTGGGTGTGACTGCATTGGAGGGCCAAATCAAAACAATTCAGCTTTGCTGCAGTTTGATTCATACCCTGTATTACATCTGAAATTGCAAACAGTGCTCTCACAAAGGAGCTAAGGATTGATTCTGCAGTTCACCCTTCATAGTGGGTGCGATATCAGTTGCCCACAGTCCCTCCTTTTCTTTCCCAGCTTCCTCTGGTCCCACTTATGCTCATTCTTTTATAGTTCACTGTGAAGCAGCTTTCTCATTTAAAGTTTCACACTCTACTACATTTCTCAAAACTTTTCTATAGAAAAAGGTAACATGGAAAGGTACTTAACAGTCTTAACCGTACAGAACATCAAAAATTAGAACAGTGGTTTTGCAAAATACATCATAGTTCACACATCAGAATGATTTCCTAACAGGGATCACCACCACCTTCCTCTTCCCCCATTACTCTTTCCCCTTACTTTCAAGAGAAAAGAGTAACTAATAACTAACTAGTTTAAAAGCAGATGTGAAAAGGAATGAGGCAATTCCTGCATGCATTATTTGAAAGTAAGGGAAAAGAGTACGAGGTGGGAAGGTGAGAAGTGGTGATGATCCCAATTACGGAAATATTCTGACCTGTGAATTATGATGTATCCTGCAAAATTATTGTTAAAACTTTTGATGTTCTGTACTATTAGACTGTTAAGTTCTTTTCCATGCTATTTTTCTATAGAAAAGTTCTTGAATAATTTATTGGTCTGAGGCTTTAAATAAGAAAGTGACTTTACTGCAAACTGTAAAACGATTGGCAGAGGTGGGAACATCACGCCTCAACTACCTACATCACTGAAACATCACCTACAGACACACTCCCTATCTTACAAGAGTGTATCACAACCAAATCTACAGGGAAAAAAAAACTGTTCAAATCATTATGGCTTGAAAAAGTAGAAGCCCCCCCCCGTAGCATGGGGGGGGGAGCTGCTTTAGCAGCAAAAAGGGCTGTACCAATATGAATTAAGTCTTCATATCATGTGGTCAGTAGAAAATACCTTGAGTTCACCCATTTTATAAGTGGAAGAAACCCCTCGGTATTTAACCATCTAGCAGCACTCTCAGTTTGGTAGACATCTTGTTTCTTGCATAACCCTCCTTCTCTAGTTTGCCCTGCTAGCATGGCAATTAATGGCCAAATCAAACTCTGTGCTAACCTGAGAGAAGAGGAGGTAGCCACATTCATCACAGGGCAGCATGTCATCTACCAGCACAGTGGTCCATGTGCCATCTTTGCAAAGCCGGACTTGGTAGGCTCCTTCAGAACATATGCTCCGTGTGATCATGACTCTTTCCACCAACTCAGGCCTTTCTGCCAACACAGCCAGAGCACTTAAGAACCTAAAAAGATGTGACATAAAACCAATTAATCCTGACAGGTTTCAGAAGAAGCCCCGAACTGTGAGACACTCAAGAAACTGGAGGGAGAAGGGCATTTAAGGCACGCTGGAAAATAGAGACAAATTTCTCACTGGTTTAGGTGGACAGGCTGTGTTTGCACCAACTTCAACTGGAAAATAGAGACAAAATTATCACTGGTTTAGGGCAATGGGGGGAACCGACTGTCTTGGGTGGACAGGCTGTGTTTGCACCAACTTCACGCTGCCCTCTTCCAAATCTCCACACATGTTTCTGGAAGGGTGATCTATCCTTCCTATCCTTCCCCTCTAGGTGGGGGAGGCAAGGAGCGACAGTGATGAGAGAAAGCAAGGAATGGCAGATAATGAGAAAGAAAGAACAATGGGTGCCATACATGTAGAGACAGAGGTGTTGTCGGGCAGGTGGGACGTGTCAGAAAGACACACACACACCCCGTATGTTGTTTTGGTGTTAAAAAAATTATTGAGAAATATTTTGAGCAGTATTTTAGATGTTGTTGGGCAGGTGAGAAGTGTCAGAAAGACACACACACCCGTATGTTGTTTTGGTGTTAAAAAAAATATTGAGAAATATTTTGAGCAGTATTTTAGACAACTGTTCTTTCTGGAGGCATGATTTTTCTCGGGTTTAGGAAACGGGAGCTCAGTTAGGGCATAAAAACGGCCTTGGTGGGAACTTGCAGATCATGGCTTGCATCACTGGGCTACAGAGACCCCCATGTAGTATGTGTAAAGGCATCGCTGCAGCCTCTCCTATTGAAGGCTTTTCTGTTTGGTCTTGCCTTCGCAGCTATCCCAGGTAGGAAAAAAAAATCTACATGTCATTTCAAATAGAACAAAACTCCTTCTTTCCTTTTTTTTCTGCTGGCAGGAAAAAAAAGGATAGGCTTTTCATGCCTAGCTGAAACCATATCCTATGGATGCCACCAGGCGGCAGCCTACGTCCATCAGTCAGCAGGAGGAAGAAAAGCTGAGCTGAGCAAGGCCTGGGAAAGGGGGACCAGGCAAAGCCAGGTGTGGAGGTGGTGGGGAAGGAGGGCTCCACAGAAGACAACAAAAAAATTACGGATATGGAACCAGCAAAATACCATTTGGAGAACGTGGGGAATGTCCTGGAAAAAAAGACATCTGGCTGACATTGAAACACGAGCAGGAAGGGAAGGTGAGCTGACCTCAGGTGAACTTTATCATCAATATTGGCCACATAGATCTAGGATAGACATGAACTATGCAGCATTCCAAACTTTGCCTGGAAACTGCCTGGAATTTCAGATCTTCAACTGAAGCCTTATTTTGGAAGTCCCGCCACCGTGAAGGAGCTAGTCAGGTAAATACATGAGAGCTTTCTCTTTAACAGCATCTTGATGGTGGAACTTTCTCCTAATTAAGCTGGCTCCAAGCCTGATGAATTTCTGCTGGGCAGAACAGACTGTATTGTTTTGTATGGCCTTTGGTATCCAGAACTGGTTTTTAAAGCTGAGTTTTAAAGTGTTTCTCATCTGCATTTTTAAAATGCTGGCTTCTAAAATTGGGTTTCAACATTGTCTTTTATCTGTTTTTAGAAGAATGGTTTAATATATTTTTTTATGAATCATTGGGGGGGCTCTCAATTATTATTTTTAAGAAATACAGTGGTGCCTCGATTAGCAATGTTAATCGGTGCAGCAAAAATCGCTGCTAACCGAAAACATCGCTAAGCGATTTTTAAAAGCCCATAGGAATGCATTGAAACCCCTTCAATGCGTTCCTATGGGCAAAAAACTCACCTTTAAGCGAAAATCCTCCATACGGTGGCCATTTCCGCTGCCCAGTATGCGAGGAATCCGCCCCTAAACACAGGGGGCAGCCATGTTTTTTTTATCACTTTTTCGATCACAAATTCTTCGTCGCTAAGTGGTTTCATCGTTAAACGGGGTGCTCGTTAAGCAAGGCACCACTGTAAATGATGATACAATCTATTCTCCATCTTTTGAGAACAGGTATTAGTTCCGGCGAAAGCCACCAGGGGAAACCTGACTGCCATTGTTTCTTACCAGCAATTTCCTAGAAGCCCCTGTAGGATGTCCGAAGGCCGGGGGGTCCGGAAGACAGACCACTTGACTGATCGGTCCTTGAAGATATTACAGTTGATTTCATGGGGCCTCAGCCACTGCTTCACTCGCTGCTGGACGCTATCTCCTTCAGGGAAGCCAACCGACTTGGGCCCAGGTGGGAAACTGTCATCTACGAAGTTGACCTTATTCTGCGGAGATAAAATTTTGTAAAAATTAAAGACTTCTGTGTTACTGTTTGCTTTCACTCCAAAGTCAAGGTAACTGCTGCAGTCCTCAGACCTCTCTGTCTGGCAGGTCTTGTTACAGAGATGCTCACAAGGCCAACTCCTTAGAAAGTAGGTGTGGGAGGAAAGGTAGGCAAGACGTGATCTATGGGTCAACCCGACCAGAAGTTGCCTACTATTCTCCAGTCTTTTCCCATTTAAGTACTAGCCAGAAGCTCTCCTTTTAAAGACATCAGGTAGGGAACACAATTAACTCTCCAAATGGGCACTCCTAGCATGCCTTTTTTTGAAAGAGTAAGTACAACAAGGTGCCTCATGCTGAATCAGACCTTTGGTCCTTATTGTCCATTGTTATCAGCACTGATTGCTAGTAACAACTCTCTAGGATTTCCGGCTGGAGCATTCTTTCAACCCGACCAGAAGCTGCCTACTATTCCCCAGTCTTTTCCCATTTAAGTACTAGCCAGGCTCAGACCTGGATAGCTTCCAACACTTGATGACACTGGCTATATGGAGGGCAACACTAGAGAAGATCTTCTACTGTGGACTAGTGGATAGAGGTTGGATTACAACTCAGAAGACCCCACCCCCACCCCCTTTGACCATAGAAATGCCAACATTTGGAAAGAAGGAACTATGCTTGCATAAAATGGGATCTGAAGAACAGTCACTTGAAAAAGGAAGCACAGCCTCCAGATCTAAGAGGATGCCAGGCTATATGTATGCACTATAGAAAACTTGGAAAACTCAAAAATACTGCCTGCCCATGTATCTACATGCGTGCGCACACATGCACACATGCACAGAGCAGGCCTTTGACACTTGTCTTAGTGGTATGAAAACCACCTGCTATTTCTGTACCTCACTCCCTCTGAAGTCCAGCTCGATTAAATTTTATTCCGGAAGACTGGCTTGATGTGGCTTCAATCACCCACAGACTACTGGGAAATAAAACAGTGCTTGATCATTAAAGCCATGGTGTGGTTAGTTATTAATGAATGTTGGGAGGAGTCTTTTCCCAAGGCTGCCAAAAAGCACCCTGGGAGGTGCCAGGCCCCAACTAATGATGTCAAGCTGAATTCCTGAGAGGTTTACCGATGCTGAGCACCTTTTCCTGCTGACTCCTTTATAAAGAGAGTCTAGAGCCTCTGCTGCTTCCCCTTCACCTGATACCTTCCTGCTGTTTTGTACAGCAACTCCCTTTAAACCCAGCCAGCATGGCCGGTGACAGAGACCAAGAGAAAGGGGAGATCAAGACTGAAATACCTGCACAACGGTAATAGCAAAAACCTGACAAACTATCCTGTAGGAAATGCTCCCTCAAAACATATTAATAATAACAAGAGTTGCAAGGTTTAATTGATGTATGAGTTAGCTTAAGCAATTAAATACTTTTTGATCCATTAAAAAGGAGTACTCCCAAATAATCAGTTAGCAATTTTAAAAGAACATAGAATATTAAGTACTTATCAAAACAACAAAGGGAAATCTTGAAAGTTGCATTCTCCCATGCTTGTAAAAGGAGGAAAGCTTCTCCCCAGAAAATGCCCGATGAGCTATCCCGACAGCACCAAAACACAAAACAGGTCCTTTTCCCATTAATACCAGTATTTCGTTAAGCACATGTATACCACAGCTAATTGATTAAGATTTCTTTAATCAGAACAAATTACAGCAATAATAATGTATTGGATTGAGCACCTTGGCCCTCTGTCCAAAGTGCTCAAACCAATACATTATTTATTATTGCTGGATGTTTTGCCCTATCACCCTGATCAGCTCCAGCCAGCATGGCCCGAACTGCTAGGGACTGTGAGAGCTACAGTCCAAAATGCCTGGGGGATAAAAGTTTCTCTCTTCTGCTTCAGAACTTTTGATGTGTTTTATGCACACTGTCAGCAACCACGTCTATGATGATCTTCCTTAAGATCACCTAATCATTTGGTAGCTAAGGTGTGGTGTAGAATATTGATTTATTGATTCATTCATTCAAACTTATACCCCACCCATTTGGAAGACCATCCATTACACTGAGCAGCTTCCAAGAAAAGAATATTACTATACAACATAAATTAAGATAATGAGCATAAAAACAAAAACCGCTCATAAAACCAGTTGTGATTCATTGCTCTACGTTGTTGTCACTATGCTGAGCTCAGGCTCAGTTCTAGCAGATAAAGCCACACCCTACAACCCAAAAAGCAGGAAAGCTAAGCATATTTGCTTTTCTTGAAGGATAGCCATGAAACAAGCACATATGCATTACATTAAAGTCATGCTCCCTTGGCCAGGGAGCGTTTCAAGTTTCCCTCTACAGTCTGTAAGTTTTCAAAGAGCTACCTTTTTGAACTAAAGGTAAAGGTAAAAGTTCCCCTTGACAATTTTTGTCCAGTCGTGTTCGACTTTGGGGGGCGGTGCTCATCCCCGTTTCCAAGCCACAGAGCCACTGTTTTTGTCCGAAGACAATCTTCCGTGGTCACATGGCCAGTGCGACTTAGACACGGAACGCTGTTACCTTCCCACCGCAGTGGGCCCTATTTATCTACTCGCATTTGCATGCTTTCAAACCGCTAGGTTGTCGGGAGCTGGGACAAGCGACGGGCACTCACTCCGTCGCGTGGATTCGATCTTATGACTGCTTGGTCTTCTGACCCTGCAGCATAGGCTTCTGCGGTTTAGCCCACAGTGCCACCACGTCCCTTCCACCTTTTTGGACTACAACTCCCAAAATCCTCCGGCAGGGGGATTCTAGAAGCTACAGTTCAAAGAGTAGCTTTTCTAAGCTCTGGATGTCAACAAGCAGGACCACATATCTTTCTGTTCTCTTAGGGAACCGCAAGAAACTTGCTTCATGAAAATTAAAAGGACTCTTCACCAGGTCTCAGGACCGCTTTGCAAAATGTGACGGCAGGCAGGCAACGCAAGAACTCACCTCTTGACAGAAGGAGACAATGTTTTCCCAGAGGGCCTTGGCTTCCCCCTCGTCGGTCTGACGGCGCTTCTCTGCGTGCATGCTCTCCCGGCGCCGGAGAGGTTTGGCGCCCTTGAGTTGCGACATGTACCCCTGAGGGGTGTGACAAGCTACACAGTGCTTGGCCTTGAGCTCATTGAGTAACGTACAAGCCGGGCAGGCCCACTGGCTGGGCCTCTCTGGCGTGGCCGGCGGCTGCGAGGGGAAAAGGCGGGCCACTTTGCGAGCGGAGGGGGCCTTGCACCCACAGGCTGCGCCCTTATCCGAGCTGCACTCAGAGCATTTGGAGGCTGACTCGCCTGGCAAGCCGTGTTCTTGGAAGCCGTGCAGCTTGGAGGAGCCGCAGGCCTTGCACTTTTGAGAGGCTGTGGGGTTCTTCAGCGTGCACTTGGAGCACGACCAGGTGGTGAAGTCAGGGCTGGACGGGCCGCAGGGCGTGAACCGCACCGAGTCCCCCGTCAAGTCAATGGTGTCACTGCTTTTCTGGCTGTTGCAGGCCTCACACGGACCTGAACCTGAGGTGTTGAGGAGGGAGCAGGTGCTGCACTTCCACGGGGATGGGCTCACCTCCATCTCTTCCTCCAGGACGCTCAACCGCTTGGTGGCCATGAGTTCTTGGAAGCGAATGGCCTTCTGCACAGGGGTCGATGGAGAGGCCGGCAGGGAGGCCTCCAGAGTGGGCGGCTGAAGCTGTGGGGGCACCTCCCGGCGGCTGCGGGGAACCGGGTTGTTTTGGAGGCCCGGGGAGAAAAGGCTAAAACTTGGCATCTTCTGGTTGTCTTGCTCGACCGCCGTAGTGGTCCCTGGGTTGGCAGCCACGTGGCTCTCTGGGGTCTCTGTGGCCACAGTGGGCTGAGGGGTGGAGGGGGCTACGTGGAAGCCAGCAGGAGCAATAACTTCAGGGACGACCAGCGCCTCTGGGGGGATCTTGGGCAGGGAGAGCTTACGGGGCCCCCCGCAGGCAGAACAGGAGTTGGCCACAGGGGTGTTGTGGAGGGTGCAACGCTGGCAGGCCCAACCTTCTTCCAACCTGGCCTCTTCGGGACTTTTCCCCCCAGACTCCTCGCCAGAACTCTCAGCCTTGGGCACCTCCTCCTTGCAGGTTCCTTTGGGCTCAATCAAGATGGCGGGCTTGGGCAACACCCCATTGATGATTGGCAGCGGGGAGCCTCCTGGCCCCGGCTCCGGGGTGAAGCCACACACCTCACAGGCCTCCTTGCCTAAGAAGTTCCGGAAGGTGCAGCGAGCGCAGGCCCATTTCTGTTCCTCAACGCTGAGGCGCAGGATGTGGTTGAGGTCAGGCTTCTGGCGGGGAGCTTCACAGATGGAGCACTGGCGCTGTCCCACTGGGTTCAGGAACGTGCAGCGGGTGCAGGACCACTCTCGCACAGCAGCCATAGAACTAGAAGAGTGGGTGTGGCTGAAAGAGAGAAGAAAGGAAGAGGGGCTGTGACTTATATATAAGATAAAAAATTGGTTTGTGTGTGTGTGTGTGTGTATATATATATATATATTAAAAATTGAAAACTACTAGGAGCAATTTTAACACTAAGCTACTGTAAGACAAGTGTTAATAACATTTTGCTAGGAACAGTTCCAGTAATTTATTCAGGTTTTTAAAAATGTATTAAAAGTGCCTGGCAATTGCTTTTCTACACACCATGGCTCCCCAAATGATGTATATACAACAGTTTGAAAACATTACTTAAAACAGATGGGGCAGAAATTCTGTTGGTATCACACAGCATCAACCAGAAATCGCACAAGTGGCACACGCAAGCTCCCCAGCTGTCCTTCTGTATGCTTTGACATGCCTAGATTGTACAATTAGTTGTGCATTTGGTCACGCATCACAGCAAGTGAAAGATGGCCAGCAAAATGCAAAAAACCACTTGGGCTATTGCCCTTACATAGATGGTATTTTGCAGCACAATTTTGGCCCCTGAAACCCATTTCTAACATACACAGGGCATACAGAATTGCATCTTTCTGACAGCCAGCTAAAAGCTCACCGAGTTAATCAGATGCTCCATTAAAAGAGAAGTGAAGAAGTCCTATCCACTCACCTCCTCCCTGTTTTATTTCCCTCAGCCATTCCTGATTGGTACATTGAAAGCAAGGCTATTAGATTACACACTGAAAGCTTTTCATATCACACCTGGCAGGTCTTAGATACAACAGTAATATTACCAATTATCTAAGTCAAGTTTTTCTCTTTGCTTCCCTAAGCTTGGGCTCTTCTCTGTGTCCTGTGTGATGACGTGCAACTAAGAAGAAACAACAAAAGGTTACAGAGACAGTGTGCTCTACTGGTCTGTGCTCTCCTGGTCGTTTGAGAACCTTTCCTGTGTTCACTCCACGTTCTTTGATGCACTCAACAGATGAACACAGCAACAGCAGCTGGTCCAATTACATTCATCTAATTAAACTTTAATCATTAAAATATATCTAAACTCTAATCACAGTCAAACTGAAGGACCAGAGTCCACAACCTATACAACTCTAGTCTCCTGTGGCTTTTTTCCATCTAAGGGAAAGAGAGAGGGAGATGGAAAAACATACAATGAAGATAAGCTTCCTCCTCTAGCTTCTTCCCCTAGCTTGCTCCTCCAACTGCTTCACAATGCATAGAGTGAAGAGTACCAAGTAAAGAGCCAAGCAGCTTTCCTTAGGGATGCAGATTTTTAAAAGAGATTGGGGTGTGTGCGCGCACACATATTTTGTATCAGCAGAGAGCACCCTGGAGGTGTGCGCACGTGCACATTTTGTATCAGCAGAGAGCACCCTGGAGGCTTTGGAGGCTTGATTCTATTGGAATTCTCTATCCCGGTGGTTCTCAGACTTGGGTCCCCAGATGCTCTTGGACTGCATTTCCCAGAAATCCTGGGCGGCACAGCAAGTGGTGAAGGATTCTGGGAATTGCAGTCCAAGAACATCTGGGGACCCCAGTTTGAGAACCATTGCTCTAAGCAAACCTCTGCGGAGGAAGCAGGGGGCAAGAGCAGACTTAACACGCTGCATGCTGACTCTGGACTGCATCATTCCCATCATTGACCTAGACAGTATTATATAGGTCAAGAGTTAACAACATGCAGACCCTGAGGAAGTTGCATGCAAATCACAGTATTCCTCGACCACCACAGAATCCCATTAAAAAAAGGGTTTTGGGGAAAAAATACTTTAAAACTCCCTCATGTTCCCTAGAGAGTGTGGATCAATTTTGTCATGTTTTGAGGGAAGCCAAAGAATGCTTGGCTCCTCTTAGCTGCCACCCCACCTCCCAATTTTTTACTTTTTAAAAACCATTTGATCATTAAAAGGGCACAAGGAGGCTTTTTATGTTTTTTTTTAAATGTGTAAGAATGTTTGGGGGGATTCCAAAGGCCGTGCTCCAAAATCCAGGGACGGGCACAGATCCCTGAAGGCAGCCCTCCCTCCTCCCAACACACAAGAACGCCTGGCAAATTTAAATGCAGATTTCCTTACTGGAGCTTGGAAACAGTGGAAGCGGCTGATACAGAAACAGATCACTGAGTATAACAATCTCAGAACTGCCTGCATTGACTGACAGTAGCTCTCCAGGTTTTCATGCAAGTGTTTTTTAGCTGGTGATGGCTGCGATTGAACCCAAGACTTCCTATATGCATAGGATGAAATTTGCGACTGAGCCACAGCCTGGATGTTAAACAAGGAGGAGACACCAGTAACCACGCATCATTCCAGCTTTCTTATCAGGGTTCTTTCTGCATCTAAACACACAGAAAACAAGTGAAGCAACCAAACAACACCAGAGAAGTCCCTCAAAGCAATGCAAACCCAGTCAGGACGAATGGCCGAACTGCTGCAACAAATGCACTATTGTAAGATGCGGTGGGTGACTGCGCCGGGGGGGGGAACGACTCTTACACCACCCACTGCAGCCATGAACTAGAGATTTCAAAGACGCAGCAAACTAAGAGCCTCAGGGTGGAGATGGAATGGGGATCCCACAGCAGCCGAATGAATGTTTTGATTAGACTTGCTGAATGGAGGGGGTAGAAAAGAAATGGAAATTCTGGTTTTATCAGAGCTTGCAAAGCTTCTCCCTAGTGCAGAAGCACATGGGGTGGGTGGATGGGGTGGAACCAGCTGTGTTCTAGCATCACCTTACAAAGTCTCCTACTCCTTTCTTGGCATTGTTTACCTACCCCTCAATTTGTTTCACAATTCCCATTGACGCTGTCCTCCTCTTCTCCTCCCTCAGCTGTTTCCTGGGGATTTCTCTCCCCTCCCCTCTCATCTCCAGCTGCCCAATTATTTCCAAGCCCTGGGATGCTGCAGTCCTAGTTACGATGACATTGCTGCACGGCCTGCCATGAGCACCCTGCCTGATGTTTGGTTAACAGCAGGGAAGGAAAGGCAAGGGCCTCCCTCTGGCGAGGCACATTCTCTCACTGCCTGGGTTGCGAAAGGACAAACACTGCAGGCACTTCGCTTCCTTCCATCTGGGGCTGGCTAGCGTGCGGCCAGCAGGGCCAACGGATCAGCGAAGCCACAGAAGGCCGCTCAGCGTAAGGATCATCAGCCACGTGGAAGACCTTCTCTCTACGTCTGCCTGCTGCTCTGGCATCAATTCACATGGCCAGCAGCAGAAAGGTATGTAAACTGTTTATGGTGGTGATGATGATGATGATACAAAATCCAGGATGGGAAGCCAAGAAGCACGTGCTACAAAATCCCAAATAGATCCTTCTTCAGGGGCCATCTACAAAATTGGAAACCTAACCCATACGACTGCTGCTTCTTCACACCTGTATTTACATTCAGATTCACAGCAACAAAAGAGCCCCTCGTCTGCCAGAATTATTTCAGGAAAATGTATCCTGCCAGTTCTAATTGGCAACAGGCAATGGACATCAAATGATTTTTGTGAGTCACCTAATATTATACAACTGTTGTGACCAAAAGCATAAGGGATATTCTCAGAGTATACAAACAGATGGGCCTGTCTCAAGACAACTCTTGCAAATCTCCCAATTCTAATCATATATCCTTCCAATTCCTAGACTGTGCCCTATTAAAGTTATTCAGCATTATCCAGAACATTATATATTGAAAAGCAGAGCTTGGAAAATTAACTTTTCCAAGCGTTGGCAAGGGTCACGCCACTGATACTCCATTTCCATTTGGCAATTACTGTTTGGCTTTGATTGCTGTGCTAATGATTGGTTTTAGGGCCAGACTGTCATTTAGCGAATGAAGCTGCCATCTGGTAAATGAGCAAATTATTGAAATCAGTAAGTCAGGATTACTCCTGGTTTGGTGAGATAACCAGGACATAATAACGATTACAACCTGATATGAAAGAAGAAAATGCAAAAGCAGGACTACAGTAAGATGAAAAATATCACGTCTACAGAAGAACTGTGCGACCGTGTTTTGACATAAAAGCTGAAGTTGTTGAAGATTTTTATACCATGATTTAATCATCAATATTTTAAATAAATTACAACCTGATATGAAAGAAGAAAGTGCAAAAGCAGGACTAGAGTAAGATGAAAAATATCACGTCTACAGAAGAACTGTGCGACCGTGTTTTGACATAAAAGCTGAAGTTGTTGAAGATTTTTATACCATGATTTAATCATCAATATTTTAAATAAATTAATTAAATATATGGGGACTGCAGCCAAGAAATCAGGAGACTGACATTAGGAAGGGTAGTAATGAAGGAATCAGGAAATACTGTACCATCAAATGTAAAGATGTATAATTGGGGAACAAGGTCAAGATAGTCCACACTACAGTATTCCCAGTTACCTCATACAGATTAAAGTCAGCCACTGAAGCATATCTAGCATATTTTCTGATTATTGCTGCATCCTTTGAAATCCCACATAAGGAAAAAAGGCAAAGTTATTTTTAGGGACTGCAATTCCTAGAATTCACTAGTGAACAAGGCCACTGTCCACCCTGGCTAAGGTATTCTAGGATCTATAGTCCCTAGAGTAATTTATGCAAATTCCTAGACCAGATGCTGTAGCAAATCATAGGCATACAAGATATTTATGTGTGCATGTTACCTGATGTTACCTTTTTTTTCAGACTTGCCAATTAGTCTAACCATTCATGACCCATTTGCAGTTTTTAGCTACAAAAGCAACTGCCACTATCTTTATGACCCTAATGGCCTGGCCCTTTTGATCTAATTCATATAGGTAAGTATCCTGAATTGCTGTGTAACTGTCCTACTAAAAAATTAAGACAATTTTAACCCCTCAAAAGATATGGCATTCTCTCCCAAGGTGGTCCTGATGTCAAGCTGGTGGCGAACCTCAGCAAATTAGAACTTGCACTTTCTCAGTTCACCAAAGAGTTAATGCGGGATCCTGACTCCATCTTATGCTGTTCACCAGCATAAGTAGATCACCCTCAGAAGCA